ATCAGTGTGTTATACAGCATCTGAGATAAACTGTAAAGATATGGGCTATATCTGATGGTTCATGTCTAAAAACCTTTGAAGGGCACACATCAACTGTATTAAGGGCATCATTTCTTACCCGTGGAACACAATTTGTTTCCTCTGGTAATAAGATTTATTGTTATTTTAATGTCTTTTTATTACTTTGATGACATAGTTGAGCGACCAAATATTTGATTTCAGGTGCGGATGGTTTGGTCAAGTTGTGGACAGTAAAAACAAATGAGTGCATTGCTACATATGACCATCATGAGGGCAAGGTGATGTTTATTTTCGTGTGTTTTTATTTTTTTATCTTTTACAGGAGAAAGAAAAAATAATCTTTGGCTATCTTACTAGGCTGGTGTCCAATTTATTGTGTTTTGATATTTTCATGCTAACAACATCAGGAAAATTGAAGCCTTAAGATCTTCCATGTGGAGAATGCATCAGATTTATCATTTTGTTAGGTTTCCATTATCTTTTATTCTATATTTGTTTTTAAAATGTGAAGAAAATCTGGAAGGAAAGGGATGGAAGAGCTTTTGGAGGGGTAGATGTTGTTAATGATTTTGACTTGATTAGGAGTAGATGGTTCCAAGCCCTTGCATTTTTTTTATTGGGTTTTATGGAGGATCTAGATGACCTTATTGATATTTGGTAGATATGTAAATACTTTGTATATGGGTATCAACCCTCTTGGTGCCGATTATTAATATATTTTTCACACTTTATTTTATTTTATTTTTTTAAGTAAAAGAGTAAAATAGTGTATTAAAGAATCAGTAAAAGAGTAAAATATTTTTCACACTTTATATTTCAAAAAAAAAAATTAATGTGAACAAAGCATTCTTATCCACAAGGTACCAGGAGGTACAATCCATTTATAATTTTTTTTCCCTTAAAAATTGTAATTACTTATCTTTCTGTTGAATCTTGCATCATTTATGTTTGAGGAATTTGTCCTAAGGATTGTTGTGCACCTGATTGTAAACAAGGGAGCACAAACATGGGGGTTGGCTATTTAGATGCACTTTGTAATTCCAAATTCCAAATTTGCACAAAATCTCTGTTTGGAGAAAGGTTGAGAGATCAGATGCTTCGTGATCTTGAGACTAGTTAATGACTGCCTTCTTTTTATGTGTAGAAACAATTTTTTTCCTCAGGCGGGAAAGAAAGCACGAACTATTTACCCGTGCCTCAATTTTGGAGAACCATAGGGCATTTCGACAGTTCTTCTGTAATTGAGGGCAGTGTGCATCTATAGGTCAAAGCTGCTATTAGCTTAATTCATCTTGCATTAGAGTTGTGATTGAAGAGTGGGTAGATGAACTCTTTGCTAAACATAGATGTAGTTTTCTTGCAAGAATGATTAGGAAAACTCAGCCAAAAATAGGGGTATTTGCCAGGAACAAACATTAATGAATATGGTTGGTATTGATTGATCTAGCCTAAACTTGAAGACCAATAAAGAAAACATTTTGAAATTTCTGTGATAGTTGGCTTTTTGTTGTCAGCATGGGCTGTCTTTGATGTTGAAGATTCTTTGGATCGTTGAAAGTACAAAATGGAACTGTATAATAGGCAAGCTTTTGCTTTTCATATGTTTGTGTTTTGAGTGATTGGATTGAATTATTGTATAATATAATTATAGATAACATGTTTCAATTAGATATTGCTTTTAAATTATAGTACTATTTTGTTTAATTTGTTGATCATGTCTTTTTTTGTGCATTCTTGTAGTATCATGGTGCTTTTTTAATTAGATTTTCTTTTATTTTTTTATTTTTTTATTTTTTCCCCCTTGAGAAACCTGGTCTTGATGAAGTAGGTGTTAATGGTTATTCCTGGTAAAATAAAGCTGGTAAACTCTATGCGGTAGCGTACCTTATCTTAGTAATTATTTATGGTTCAAACAGTGTTTGGTCCCTTCTAGATGTAGGATATCTTAGTTCTTATATTTGTTGATAATTCCTTCATAGTTGATGTAAGGATGATTCTTTATTCTCAACATACCCTGTTCACTGGGTTGGAAAGTTCTTCCCTGCATATTCTTTTGCTTATTTGATTTTGGTTGCAGGTTTGGGCCTTAGCCGTTGGGAAGAAAACTGAAATGTTTGCTACTGGTGGTGATGATGCAGTGGTCAATTTATGGTATGATTCAACTGCTTCTGATAAGGAGGAAGCATTCCGGAAAGAGGTGTGTCATTTCATCTTTTAATTTTAAACAGGCTTGTATCTTTGGCATCTTATTTGTTTGTCATACTTTTGGCTTAAAAATCAATTAAGGTGGCTTGTCTGATTTTGAATTACGATAATTATGATGTTTAAAATAATGTGGGCACATTAAAAGTGTAAATTACTTTTTGTGTTATCACTTCTTATAGGTTCGCGGTTATTTTAAAATATCATGCCAAACTATTTATTGTGCCTAATTAATTGTAAGAGACTTGAATATTGAACCTTTCTGGGCATTCTGGTATTCATGATTCAGCATGAATATTGGACCTAAGATTCATTTTAGATCATTGATATGATGATGATAAGATTCAATTAGATTAGTTATATACCTATCAGTGAGTTGTGTGAAAGAAGTTGATATGGATTTGGTACCTATATGGACTTATCTCTCATATATGCATGTGAAAGAAGTTGGTTAACTATTTTATATATGTTGCATGCTGATGCAGGAAAAAGGGGTCCTGAGAAGTCAAGAATTGGACAATGCTGTTTTAGATGCTGATTACATCAAAGCCATACGAATAGCTTTTGAACTCCACAGGCCTCATAAACTTTTTGAGCTATTGGCTGGGCTTTGCAGGTTAGCAATTTCTTTACTTGTAATCCTTTCTTTCTGCAGTTGAGCCTTCTTCTTACTCAATGCATTACAGGAAAGGAGATGCTGATGATCATATAGTGAATGCATTCCAGGCTCTTGAGAAAGAAGAATTTCGGCTACTTTTAGAATATGTTCGAGAATGGAATACAAAGCAAAAATTGTGTCATGTGGCACAGTTTGTGCTCTTCCGAATTTTCAGTATTCTGCCTCCGACAGAAATTGTTCAGGTTTCGATAATTTATTTTCTGGTTATTAAATATTACAATAAGAATCTTTTTTTAGAGGGCAAAACAAATACTAGTAAGGCACCAAGAGGATGCAACCCATTTTAGGAGGAGGAATTTACAATTGTCAGTCAAATATCAAAGAGGTCACCCAAGTCCTGTAGAGTAAAAAGAGGATAACCTTTTAAGTGAAAGACACAGGATAGAGAATTGTTGGTCATTGACTTTAATGGTCTGCAAGGTGCTTCTACCCTTCTTTCCTTGCCTTATCCATGTTAGGCAATGATTTTATAGTCCTTGATAAACCAAGACAATTAGCAGCTATGCTCGCTATTGCATTTTGTTATGGCATAAAGTTGGACATGGCTCAAGTGCTTGAGACAGCCTATGCTTGATGCTAGTAAGCATGTATGCCCATTTGTCAGATGCATTTGTCTATGTACCTGAAACTTATGATTGTTAGGGAGGATAGAAAATTTGGAAGATGGAAGGGCGAGCATTAAAGAGAAGTATCAGGAGTAGGATGTATTTGACTCATGAAAATGTTAACTACTTATTATTTTCGATAGATATATGTATGTATTAAAATATCCTAGTATCTATATGTATAAATATGTATTATATATATGAATATTACTATGGATGTGCTTTGATACATATTTGTGTTTGTGTACCCACAAATATAAAAAATTTCATTATTGATTTCATCTTAAATTGATGAATAGGGGCAAAAACATTAAAAAAAACAAAGAAGAAAAAATCTCAAACTTCAGTGCCCTAAAAAATTCTTCTATTCCGCCTCCAAATAGCCAAGAGATCAGATAGGAATGAAAGAAACAAGCTTCTTTTCAGTTCTCTGTGTGATTATCACCTCAACTCTTCAGCTGCTCAAACACTAGTAACTACCCGGTTAAGGCACACAGTAAATCTTGAAATCCTGTGACTTATTTCCTCTAGGCACTGGAGGAAGGGATGGTCGAGGCATTTATTGTCCATAAGGCACTAAGAGCATGGCGATGGCATTGGGTTGTAAGACAACGACTTTTCCTATTAAATATCTTTGTTTGCCTCTTGGGGCAAAATTCAAAGATAGGAAAACTTGAGAGCTTATTTTGGAGTGTTTTGAAAAAAGGCTTGCGGGGTGGAAGAGAAATTTTTTTTCCAAAGGGGGTAGACTTACTTTGATTAAAAGTACGTTGACCAATTTATCGATGTATTACCTCTCCATTTTAACCATTCCGGCTAGCATAGCAAAGAAACTTGAAAACATTCAATGCAGATTTCTTTGGGGTGAGGTGGAGGGGAATAGAAAATATCATTTAATAAGGTGGAAAGAGGTAAAGAAACCGTTGTGGGAGGGGGGGCTTTGGTTTAAGGTCCATTAGAGAACTCAATAACACTCTTCACGGGAAATGGTTATGGAGATATCTTATGGAGGAGGGGAGGCTGTGGAGGAGGGTCGTGCATGCGAGGTGGGGGGATTGGGAGGAGAGGGGAAGAAGGGGTAGATTCAAACCGCACAGGAGGAGTTGTTGGAAGAAAATCAGGGATGACAGCAATGTTTTCATGGGCTGTGTGGGGTGGCAGCTTGGAAATGGTGAGGATATTAGTTTTTGGGAGGATGAATGGATGGGTAGTTTTAAACTTAAAGATCGTTGCAAAAGAATTTTTGAGATTGCTAGTGATAAGGAGGCGAAGGTGAAGGACATGTACAAAAATATGGGGGAAGGGAAGACTTGGAATGTGAAAGTTACAAGGAATCTGCAGGATTGGGAAATTAATGAATATTGGAACTTGCTGTTGGCTTTGGACAGCATGAAGGTGAAAGAAGCAAGGGATAAGAGAGTATGGAAGCCTGATGAGAAAAATGGTTTTTCTGTGAAATCGATGTACAATCTTCTTGACACAAATGCTGGAAATACTATCAGTTCAGCTCCCTTCAAACAGATCTGGAAAAGTGGGATTCCTCCTAGGATGGCTTTTTTTACGTAGGAAGCCGTTAATGAATGCATTTTGACTATTGATACGCTGAGAAAAAGAGGTAATACCATGGTTAATAGATTCTATATATGCAAATCCGGCGATGAGACCTGCAACCATCTACTTTTGTGGTGCCCGATGACCTACAGCATTTGGTACACTGTTTTGGGTCTGCTGGGATTAAGTTAGTTTATGGTTGAAAATGTGAGTAAAGAGTTGTGGGCGTGGACAGGGTATTGTCAGAAGAAAAAACATGTGTTCCTTGTACCACTAACTATTTTTTGGATTGTGTAGAAAGAAAGAAATACAAGAGCTTTTGAGGGTATAGAGACTAATATTACAAAAATTAAAGATAGGTGGATCTACTTTTGGTTCTACTTTGTTAGATCATGACGTCAAAAATTGAGATGATTTTGGGTGGGTCATGGATCACTTAATAGAATTGTAATATATACTTTGTACATGGGCGGGTACCCTCTTGGTACCTTTGTAAATAATATTTCTTGTCTTATATTTCAAAAAAAATGCACTAAAGAGCATCTATTGATACTAATGTAATCTATGTTTCTCACAGTTTGAGATGTGTACCATCAGACTAAGAACCTGTTTTGTTGGTGAAATAGATTGAATAGGGAGGATTGTAATAGCAATTTGTTATTTGGTTTATGGAATCCTAATTTTATAGAATTGTGACGCCTGGAACTCATGTAGCAAGATTCGTACCTGAGGAGATATGGAGTAGGATTCAGGGTTTAACTGAATTATTATGTAGTTTAGCACCTCTTGGTTTGATAAGAAAGAAAGTTCGTAGTTTCCGATGAGAAAGAAGGTTCTTTTTATCTTACCAAACCAATCACAGGAGTTAGGAAGATATTTGCAGGGTAGTTTATGTGTACGTGATTTGTATTTTGCGTTCAACGTTAATTTTAT